ATGATCACTCTTTCGTCTTCAGCACACCGCATTTTAGCACTTTAGGCAGATGCTACCACATCTGTCCTTTAAGCAACACATACCCATTTCGTGACTTACGAGGTACTCATAAAATATTGCTGCAGTATCAGGAAAATGGCAAATTTGGAAGGATAGGGTGTACTTCTACACATCGCACGGAAATTGAAAAAATAACCCTTTATGAGGCCCTTTATAAGCGGGGTATTTATTAAATTTGGCTTAGGTTGAGCTGGCTGGGAAACGGATATCAACGTAGAAAGTGGAATCGATGAACTATGAGACTGAGCTCTCTCGCCTTGCTTGACAATCAGTCTAAGAGAAGGAAAACTATGAATTCCAAATTATGGAGAAGACAACGGGAAATCATTCCATCTTTCACAAGAATGTGTGGCAGTTCAAGGATAATAAAGAAAAAGAACCGGTAGAGAATCATGATTACCTAATTCCTGAAGGGGCATGGCATTAAAAAGAAAAGCTTACTCAAATACATGCCGCAATAGTGAGGCAACCATGAAGATGAAACAGACTTCACAAGCTGATAGCCTGATAGTTCTCTAACAATATTTTACAAGTAATTGGCAATCAGAAGACTTCACTAATCGTACTTCACAAGCTAACTCTATAAAAAGACTAGTTTGTTAACCACACCTCACTAATTGTATGTAGAATGGAATATGTGAAAACAGTTGATATGACAACAATCAATTGTTTTCACATATTCCATCTGCAGATAATATATTATCTATGTGCTAAGGAATTATATAAAATCCAGTTTAAAATCTTATCAAGATGTTTAACCAGTATTTTATTTGATATTATTTTCCTTTAGTATTAACTAGAAAAAACCTACTTTTTGATTAATCGAAATGAATTTGATGATTTATGATGAATAAATTTATAGTGAATAAATGTAGTGTTGAACTCATATGTAACATCCATACTCCAATATGGCAGTGAATATTGGACAATTTCCTCAGGCGACTTGAGGCAACAGAGATGCGGTTTCAAAAAATAATTCTGAGAATACCATGGACGGAACATGTGATCAACGAGGAAGTTTTAAAGAAAATGAAAACAAACAGGATACTTATACTTATACTCAGAAAGAGGTAGTTGAAATTTCCGGAGAACATAATGAGCAAATAAGGCTTGGAGAATTTCATACAGATAGGACATATTGAGGGTGAGACGACGGGTGTGGGGAACAGCGAGACACCTATATAAGAAATTTGTGTAGATAGACGGCAGAAATAGGAATGGGCAGGATAACATAAAGAAGAAGAAGAAGAAGAAGAAGAAGAAGAAGAAGAAGAAGTGTTCGTACACATGTTTCTTTAAACTCTGTTGCGTTTCACCAATATATATTTTATCCCATTTAATACATGGACTTATATAACAGCATGAGTTGTATTTACAATTTATAATTCTGAAGTCAAAAGCCCGAGTAGAAGGTCACCCTGATGAAATCAACGGTCACATCAACGTGACCAAGGTGAGTCTTCCTGTTGAATAATATCGACTGTAGTTTGACTTTGAGAGAGATGGACTTTTCCAGGTTTGCTTACCGAAGACACGCTACGCATGGATGAATAATTTTCCGGCTTTCTACTCGGATATGTGGCAGGAATCGGTCAAATGCTCAGCTACGCAGTGACACTACAACCACAGCCGATCATGGGACTGATGATGATGAATCTTATGCTTTTATATTATTTCTGTTATGGTAGATGTGGTTGAAGCGGTTTTAACTTCAAGAGAATTCTTAATTAGGCTAATTGTCTACCAAAGTAATTATTAATTCTGTCTACTATTTTTTAATTAAAATAATTGTCTACCAAATTATCTTGTAAACATTACTACCTAATGGTTTACCAGACTAGTTTGGTAAGCATACTTCATTAGCATTTAATCTACTATACAAGTTTGTTAACTATCACTGCAAAATAGGCATCCAGTATTTAGCTTGCTTAATCGATCACAAAGCCACATGAACTTGGAATAAATTTTGTGAGGATCGAACATGCTATTGTAATAATAGTTTTTAAGACTAGATTACAAACTACTACTTTCTGGTGAGTGAGATCTGTAAAGACTTGACCATTATTAACATAGTCTGAAACTTGAATATTGTCTATCGAAATTGGGCACATATTTCATACGGTTTTGAATTGTGAGTTGTCCTTTTTCTAGTCTGATAGCCACCCATGGCTGAAGAACCCAGTCTGTCTTACTATTTAACCCATCGATGGATTCATGCCCTTCTCAAGGGTATTTGCCCGAAAGTGAATGTAACGAAACTCGACTGGAATGCGAACTTGGTTCTCCGATTTCTCGTTCTAAGACACTATCCATTATTATATCACCTGCACGTTCTCCCATGCGTTAAATATGCCATCAAATAGAATAAATCAAACTCCTCCATTATTCTTCCTTGCTGAACTCGTGCCTATTTTTATTGCTTTTTTTATAGGAGTTTTTTTTCAATCTATGAGGCAGTGCTGAAAAGATCTTGGTCCAATCCATTCCCTGCAAATCTGACCAAATTAAAATAAATCATTTTTTAAAGCTTTTTGATCTAGCCGAGAAGTTCTCAGCACAGTCTCGCATATGCAGATAGGTTATCCTAGTTTGGCATTAAAGAACACACCTTAAATCTTTTTCTCTTCCTCTCAAATAAATAACAATCATAACTGGATAAGTACTACCTTTCTCACACGAAATAATATAACTGATATTCCACTGATATTGCCAAATAAATATATTTATAACGTACACTTTGTTTCGGAGTCAATTTGAAATCTGAAATTTTCTGTGTTCACGTCTTACGTGTATTGCTTTAGAATCAGGTGATAAAGTATATATAAATTAAAATAGCAAGACGAACCAACTTTGAATTGAAACATACATGAAAATCATAATTCATTTTTATAATCTATTGTTATTTGACGCACATTAAACATATTAAATAAAACAAAAGGGAACAAGGGATAAATGAAATTAGAAACAAACACATTTTTTATGTTCAGTTTTGCTCGCTGTCATGTGATCTCAAAAAAAATATTGCTGCTTTTGTCATTTTCGTAACTAACAAAAGCGGACACATTTTTTTCTTCTTAGTGTTGTTGTAAACTTTGAGTTCTCAACCAACTCCTTGCCTACCGTGGGCGACTTGAGACCAATAACTGTAAAACTACTCAAGTTAGGAGAAAAACTTCTAAATTCGAATTTATTCAAAAATATACGCATCACCTACCCATAGGCGAGTGTGTACGAGTAAAAATATATAAGCAACATAAATACGCGTAACAATAATAAATAAGATTAAAAAACAAAACCCAAATTCGAAGATGGTTCGCTAACATCAATTTCCACGTACAAAGTCGTTATGCTATATTGCAAGTAGATATGGATGAATACATGTAAGCAGCTGTGTATACACAGAAACGCACACACACATATACATGCATCCGTAGAGGTTGCTGAAAGAGATTCTTGAACAGCCGAAAATTCTTCCGCAGTCGGTTCATATATTTTTGGCAGGTTTATAGATTTATATATATATATATATATATATATATATATATATATATATATATATATATGTGTGTGTGTGTGTGTGTGTGTTGTGTGTGTGTGTGTGTTTTGTGTGTGTGTGTGTGTGTGTGTGTGTGTGTGTGTGTGTGTGATTTATTCGAAAATTATAACATAAATATGTTATAAAATCACTACAAAAATAGCCATTTTGTTTCAACATATCTCCCTCTCTCTATACATATATATGTATATATGATAGATAGATAGATAGATAGATAGATAGAGTCTGAAAGGTTCTTTGCTCGGCGAAGTCCAAGTTCTTACATTTGGTCAGATTTAGGAATGTGGTTTGAATCGAGAAGTTTACAGGACCTCTCTCTCTCTCTCTCTCTCACTCCTCTCATACACACACACATACGCGCGTACGCACAGCTATAACTTTTCAATAACTTTTAAATCTATTTTATATAACTTCAAATTGGCATTAGTAAAAAAAATTGAAAGCATCATTAAAAAATGCAAAATAGATAGGGGTGCGTATGTATGAAACTATTATTGTTATTTATTATTTTTTGTTCGGTGCTATCTATTTTTTTATTTTACGTTGAACACTGTACATTTTATTATGCTGTCCTGTTTGACACGCATTTTCTATTTAATATATATATATATATATATATATATATATATATATATCGACATCCTTCGATTAATGCGCATTCGATTAATGCTTTTTTCATATACCAAATTTCGACTACTGCATGCATAATACTCGATTAGTGCGGTAGAAATTCTTCAGTTTTACCACAATAAATGAAAACTGATTTTTTATAATTATCGATGTACAAGTTAGCCGCATTAATCGAGAGATCCCTGAATATATATATATATATATATATATATATATATATATATATATATATATATATATAAAATATATACGGAAAAAACAAAACAAAATTGATATACAATTATAAATATTTTAATGTTATATTTATGAATATGTCCTGAAGATGGTTTATTAGACCGAAACGTCAGACGTTGACATATTAACATTAAAACAGCATAATTGTATATAAGGATTTTTGTTTTGTTTTTTCCGTATATTTTTCATATTGTCGATTATATCCCTATTTTTATATATATATATATATATATATTATATATATATAAGCAAATATAGGATATAGATCCGATATATATATATATATATATATATATATATATATATATATATATATATATATATATATATATATATATATATCACTACATTCACGTGACATCAAAAAACATTTAAATCAAAAATGACATCTCGTTCACGTGACATTGAATACATTCAAAAATTAAAAATAGCTAATGAATCATATTTAAAATAGAGGGGTAAAGTCATCACAGGACTTTAATTCTTGCTCATGACAAGTAACTCTAATGCTTGAAATAGTTAAAAAAATAACAAAAGAAAAAAACACTTAAC